AAAAAAAATTATGTTTTTGTCATTTTTCAAAAGCTTGTGGGAAAAAAAATGGACTCAATATGCCTCTCAGCAGATAGCTTAGGGTGTCTACTTTCTGAAAAGGGGTAATTTTTGGGTGTTTGTACTGTCCTGGTATTTTAGCACCTAAAGAAATGTGATGGGCAATCAGAAAGTAAAAGCTGTGTAAATTACATGATCTTTAACATAGTTTGTAGACGCTATAACTTTCACACAAAGCAATCAATATGCACTTATTGGGATTTTTTTAACCAAAGACATGTAGCAGAATCCATTTTGGCCTACATTTATGACTAACTTTGAGTTTACTATATATTTTTCATAGCGGAAAGTAAAAAATATATTGTTTATTTTTCAAACTTTTCAGTCTTTTTTTGTTTATATAGCACAAAAAATAAAAAGCACACAGGTGATCAAATACCATCAAAAGAAAGTTCTATTTGTGTGAACATTAGGACGTAAATTTTGTTTGGGTACAGCATTGCATGACCAAGCAATTGTCAGTTTAAATATGCAGCGCCGAATAGCAAAAAAGGCCTGGTCAGAAAGGGGGGGGGGTAAATCCTCAGGTGGGCAAGTGGTTAAACCAGCTACCTTGTTTGGGTGATGATGAACATAATTTACATTTCTGAAGAGAAAAATGTTACAAGAAAGCTGAGGAAGTATGTAGTTCTTAGCAAAAAATGTTATTCCACCTTTGTTGATATTCAGGTTATATATTCACTGCAATTAAAAAAGAGCCAGGGGGAAAAAGTTTGTGTTAGTTTGTAGGCAGGTGCAGGTTGACTGCCTTACAAAGGTGGCACTGTTGCATTATCCTGTAGGGAGAGTGGAGGACAGGAGGAATATCAATTGCCTTTAGGCCTTCGTACAAGTCATCGAGTGGTGGTCATCTTTAGTGAGGACAGTGCTTTTAAAAACTGCTGCCCCCGTTGCGGTTGGCGTGCATGTGGTTAGGTTAGGAACAGGAACCCGCTTGACAGGGAGAGTGTAGCTAGCATAGGGAAAAGTTCAGAGGAGGAGAGACAGTATAGGGACTGTCGTCAGTGCTTCATATGGGAAACTTTCCTCTACCTGTTCTCCTGCATCTGCCATCCAGCTACGCAAGGTGCTGCTGGTCTTGGTGTTCCACTCTCTGCAAGTGCTGCATAACATTCTGTGAGTGTTGCCACCAGTTCTAAGCAACTGCATAGACTTTTTTACTATTGTTGAAAACGTTTTTATAATATGAATTCTGCAATTACAACTATTATGTGTGCTGTGTCTTAGCTCATGGGAACCAACCACCCAGGCCCCTACAGCCTGCACTTGAAATAAATTTGGCAGGATATGCCACATTCAGCAGTGGCCGCAGATGGGGGAGTAGGAACCACAAAGGCACCACTGGCAGCAGCTTTGGTGGTAGTGCCAAACTTTTAAGGGTCTAACATCTCCCTGGTGGAGTGGGAAGAAAGGCTGGAGAGTGATGTCCCCCTTAACCAAGTACACACCAGGCTGATTGCAGAACTGGCTATCAATTCCTTAGAAAAGGATGCCCACCAGGCAGTAACGGTGCTACCAGAGGATACACGTGCCAACCTAGAGCATATTGTGGCACAGTCAGAGGGCCTATTTGGGGAGAATATAACCCTAACCAAACTAAGATGTAGGTTCTTCATCCACAGACAACAGGACGATAAGAGCACTTTGCAGTAGTCCTTCAGAAGTTATGGAAGCAGTTGGAGACAAAGGACCTGCAAAGGGTGTGCCAACATAGGTGCCCCAGACAAGCTGCTGAAAGATCAGTTGATTGTAGGAGTGAGTCTGGGACCTATCTGGTGTGCCCTTCCTGACTTTCAGAGATAAAGTGGTGAAGGCAGTGGCCAGGGAAAAGGAGGATGTGGAAATCACCGTGGCTATAACCAAGAAAAATGAACCTCTTTATGTCTGAGAAGAGGCCCTAGGCCCGTTTTCCTACTCTCAGAACTTCAGACTGCCATCCAAGAACTGACTCACAACCTGGTGTACATGTGACAAGGAATGACAAAAGTTAAATAGGAACTGGCTCACCAGACCAACGGGGAGAACCCCCTGTGACAGGATCCAGATGAAAACCGGAAGTGTTGGTGTGATGGTTTATGTCACCTGGCCAGGAGCTGTGGCTGCTCAGAGAATAAAAGAATCCCTTGCCAGCATTCAAACTACAGTCTCATGGGACAGAGGGACAACCCCGGGACTGCACATCAAAGTCCCACAAGACAGGAGGCTATGGTAGACCCAAGCCCAGTAGTTACTTCTTTAGTAAATGGACAACTGGTCCCTTGCTTGATCGACAATGGATCAGAAGTCATCATCATGGAATGTGAATTTTACATCCATTGGTTTGCTACCCGAGACAGGAGTAATCAATTTTTCCAGTCAAAGTCTATGGCCTTCCCAACGCAAGTCCCACAACTATAGCTCATTTAAATTGGAATTGTTAGCCCTGGTGTGGGCTAACATAGAAAAGTTTGCTGAGAATATCACCCAAAGATGGATTGCCAGGTTGGTCCAATTTAATTACACAACACACTATAAGCCAAGGCAGCTCAATGGCCACATGGACGCCATTTCCTGTTTCCCAGTAGAGACACCTGTGGTCAATGTAGACACAAGCCAAAAAGACTTGGCAGTAGCCCCTGTCTTATCTCCACAGTCGTGCTCTGCACACTTTGCCCAGAGCAAACAGGTAAAGCCATTGTCTGGAGCAAGTGAATTCCATACTCTAGCTGAATGGGCTACTATTCTGCTGAAAAGACCCTGATCTATCTCAAATTCAGCGGTTCCTGTCTTGGAAGCAAAAGCCCACTTACTGTGAGTGTCAGGGGTTGAAAGATGTGACTACAATTCTGCTGCGGCATTGGGACCAGCTTGAAATTCTTACAAGTCTGCCAGATAATCCACGCCACAAGCAGGCATTTTGGGGCGGACTGTACTGTAGTTTTATTGCCCATAGTTGTCAAAATAGATGCAGCAAGCTTGCCGCTTGTGTGTGGCCTGCACCTTGCACAAGGCCACCCCAGAACATACAGACCCTTCTGTTTATCATTACCTTACAACTCTTTGAACTAGTCACTATAGACTTCTTAATATCAGCCTCCCTGTCTAACTTCCACTATGCCCTAGTGTTTGTTGATCATGTCTCAAAGTTTGAAATAGTGATGCCCACCAAAGACCAGACTGCTGTAACGGCCACTAAACTGTTCTGGAATCATGTGGTTCAGCCCTATAGGTGCCCTAAGTGTATATTTGTTGGATAAAAGCCCAAATTTCTAATCCCAGGTGTTCAAGGCCAAATACTCTGATTATGCTGTGTCATGTACTGCTTGTCATTACTGTGTTCTTTGACCTGTTGACTGTACCTTTTTGAATCCCACTGTTTTATTGTTGTTGTATGCTAGTCAATGCTGAGATCTGTCAAAAGGGAGGAAGAGTAGGTAGGTGCACTTTGACATCCCTACACAGGTAGCAGTGTTACACGACCCTGCAGGGAGAGTGGCAGACAAAAAGAATACCTATTCCTATTAGGCCTCTGTACGTGTCATCAGAGGGACTGCTGTCCGATTGGACACTGCAGGTGACTTCTGCAGCCATCTTTAGTGAGGGCAGTGATTATATAAAGCACTGTCCCTCTTGTAATTAGTGCGCATTCGGTGTGTGATTAAGTTAGATACAGGGACCCATTTGACAGGGAGAGTGTGCCTAGTGTAATGAGAGGTTCCAGAGGAGGAGGGACAGAATAAGGACTATTGTCATTGCTTCATAGGGGAACCTTTCTGCTACCAGTTCTTCTGCATCTTCCATTCAACTACCCCCTCTGCACCAGGTGCTGCATAGCATTCTGTGAGTGTTGCTACGTGTTCTAACCTGCTGCATAGAATTTGTTACTGTTGTTAGAAAGTTTTGATAATACAAATTCTGCGATTACTATTGTGTGTGTCTTGCTTCCCTCAGGGGTACCTACCACCCGGGAGTTAGAACCCACATAAGGTATACATTGTTTTCTTTGTACCTTGGGGAGATTGCACCTTACTTCTTGTCCTTGCACCTTACTTCTTATCCTTGTCCCAGTACAGGTAGTATAGCCTCATTCACACTTGAGGTTTGGGAGGGGGTGATAAAAAATCAGGGGTTGCGTCACAGTTTAGCATGCCCCCCAACTGCCCATGTTAAGCTACACTAGTGGCAGGGTGGTACACACTACAGCAGAAGCAAAAGTTATACCCAATGTGGTGAGCAAACCCTTTGGCGCTTTACGATAAATAAATAAATAAATAAATAAATAGATATTTCAAGCGAAGATATTTCAAGTGGATGGACTGCACCACAACCCCCTGGCAACTTCGTGTAATGCATGCAATAGTGAAGGCTGTTTAGGGTTAAAACAAGTGGTGAGGAGGCCATATATCATCTCTCAGCTATCTGTCAACCGCCCTGTGAAAAGTGATTCAAGTAGGTCACATTTCAGAGGGCTGCCACAAGTGTGAAGAAACCCTAAGAGGGAAATTACCCTAAAAGAATACAGGCCCACAATATAAATCTAAAAAAGTCTTAACACTTAAAGTGGTTAAAGTGATTCTAAAGCCTAAACATTTCTTACCTTAATGCATTCCCTGCATTAAGGTCAAAAATATTTAGGTGACAGTATTGGCCCCTCACCCCCCATACTTACATGAGTCCTCACTCGATCTAGTACTGTGCCAGTCTGTAGTGGCTCTCCCTGCTCTCACAAGCTTTGCCGAGGCAGCAGGATTGCTGTGAGGAGCATAAATAGAGCTTGTTGTGGTGGTATTTCATCACCACTTGTTTTTTTATTTTTTGCAATATAAATGAAAAAAGACAGTATTTTTTACTTTCTGCTATAAAACATATCCCAAAAAATTAAAAAATAAAGTTTCTTCATAAATTTTGTCCAGAATGTATTTTGCTACATAACTTTTTTTAAAAAATCCAGTGGAGGTGTGCTTTACATCACTGTATCCGACGCTTTGCATTGCACTTGGTGATGCAATGTAACCCATTCCATGACGCTCTCTGCATACTGTTGTTGTGCTAATCTGAAAGCCACACAAAGTTTGGAGGTCTTTAGCTATTGACTCTGCAGACAGTTGGCGACTTCTGCACACTGTGCGCTTCAGCATGCTCTGACCCTGCTCTGTCATTTTACATGGCCTACCACTTCGTTGCTGCTGTTGTTCCCAGTTGCTTCTACTTTGTTCTAATACCACTAACAGTTGATCATGGAATATTTAGTAGCAAGGAAATTTCACAGATGGACTTATTTCACAGGTGGCAACTTATCACGGTACCACGCTTGAATTCACTGATCTGAGAGTGACCCATTCTTTCACAAATGTTTGTAGAAGAAGTCTGCATGCCTAAGTGCTAGATTTTATACATCTGTGGCCATAGAGGTGATTGGAACATCTAAATCCAAAGATTTGGAGGAGTGGCCCAATACATAGGTATTCATTGCCTGAAATCGTCTTTATTCTGGAATAAAGCACTTTATAGGAAAGTGGATATGGGGCAAGTAATGGTAGTGTCTGCTTTGTAAACTGATGTGAAACAAGTACAAGTACTTACATGGGCTTATGGAACATGAAGTTAGATTTACTAGTATTCTAAAGAACAAGCATCAAACGGAATTGATGTATGGACTATACAGATACTAGCAATCTCACTATGCAAGGCAACCATATTAGATGTGTAGATCAAAAGATTATAGTGCATAACTAAAATTTGAACACTTTCTTCTTGGAAGTTCTGACAGTGCTCCTAGCTGTCTCAATAGAGTATTATTTTAAAGTGTAAAGTGGACCTCATTTGCCAATCCTTCTGTCTCCCTAATACAAATGGCTTTAAAATCCATTGATCATGAAACCCCCTCCCCCAAAAAATATACTTTTCTTTCATTATCATTAGACTTCAAGCAACCAGCTCTGTCAGGAGAAATCAAGTGCACCTCACGGGAGCATCAGAAATCAGAACAGGGGATTTTTTTTTAGGGGGGGTCATGATCAGTGGCTTGTGTATTTTCTATTGACAACAGGAATTAGGAGCTTGGTGCATTTCTGACAGATCAACATGTATTTTTCTGTTCTTGCAGTGTCTTTAACCACCTGCTGACCCCTAAATGCGGATGGACAGCAGATACGGGTACAGGCACAGTCATGCACATGTACATTGCCTGTGCAGGGGTGTGCTGCTTGCCCCCTGGGGAATGCAGTGTGCCACACCTGTGACCACTGTGTCCACTGGACATAGCAGATTACCAGTAACCAACTGCTATGAGTGATCACATGATTACAATGTAAACAAAACTGTCATGAATGGTTTTACATTCACAGCATGTCAACAGTAACTAATCTGTCATGAATGTCAACACATTCATGACAGCTAAAATTATTGCTTATAACAGTGAACTTCATTGTTATAAGCAATGACAGGGTTAAATAAATCCCTGGTCAACACCCCCCCCCCCCCCCCCATCTAGATTAGCTCAGTGTCACTGTGATGACACTGAACTACTCTGATGACAGGATGTAAAAAAAAAAATAGTAAAAAAAGAAAAAAAATGTTTTAAAGCATTGAAAAAAAAAAAAAATTAAAACTTTTATTGTCAGTCAGAAAAGATACATAAATGAGTGGGACTTTAATAATCCACAAGTAACCATAATACAGTGTATATGATAACCACAAATATAAAAGCATCCATTTTATTTCACTATATCCTTTAAATATAGACATATTGTCAGACTATACATAAAAAAACAATAACACAGATCTTCCAATATATTACTGTATGCCCTTGAACATAGGTCTACGTGTTTTGTAGATTTAACCACTTCTTCAGGACCAACAAAGGGTATTGACAGTTTAGGTGGTTTGGAAGGTTATACAATCAAATATAAAATCAATTCTAGAATAAAGATTTGATTGTATAACCTTCCAAATCTTACAAACTGTCAATACTCCTTGCTGGTTCTGAAGAAGCAGTTAAACCCATGAAACGCATAGACGTATGTTCAAGGGATACAGTAATGCATTGGAAGATCTGTGATATTGTTTTTTTTATGTATAGTCTGGCATTATGTCTATATTTTAAGGATATAATTGAATAAAATTGATGCTTTTATATTTGGTGGTTATCATTATATATTGTGGTTTCCTGTAGTATATTTAAAGGCCCACTCATTTATGTATCCTTTCTGTCTAAGCTTTGGGATGATACCCCAGTAGACCGCATTTCTTTTTTGAACATTCCACCCCTTACTATCTTAACTCTTTTACGGTCAGTCAGTATCCCTGATCACTGACACACCAGTCATATAATGAATCTGCACTGCACTGGTGACAGTATGTAAAAACAAATGCGGAAAAATAAACTAATTTTATTTAATTTCTTCATTTTCCAAAAATTGTGACAAAAAATTACAACGTCATAACACTCGCCATGCCTCAGACTGTCTACTTTCCAAAAAGGGGTCATTTGGGGGCTATTAGTACTGTACAGTCAGTTTAGAACCTCAATAAATAATATATAACCTCAATAAATAATAATATATAATAACCAGTACATCAAGACTGATCAATTTTGAAAATTAAAGGAACACTTTTTAATCAGAGTATAGCATCAAGTCAATTAAATTCCTGGTATATTGATCTAGTCAGTTAAGTAGCACAGGGGGTTGTTAATTAGTTTCACCTAATGTTAATGAAATTAACAACAGGTGCACACAAAGGGCAACAATGACATGACCCCCAATACAGGAATGGTTTTATAGACGGAGGCCACTGGACATTTTTTTCCCTACTCATCTTTTCTGACTGTTTTTCACTAGTTTTGCATTTGGCTAGGATCAGTGTCACTACTGGTAGCATGAGGGGATACCTGGACAGAGGTTGCACAGGCAGTTCAACTCCTCCAGGATGCCACATCAGTACATGACATTGCCAGAAGGTTTACTGTGTCTCCCAGCACAGTCTCAAGAGCATGTAGGAGATTCCAGGAGATAAGCAGTTACTGGACAGGGGCGTAAAAGATCAGCAGGTATCTGGATGAACACTGCCAGAGCCCCACAAAATGACCTCCAGCAGACCACTGGTGTGAATGTCTCTGACCAAACAATCAGAAACAGACTTCATGAGGTGGCCAGAGGGCCCAACATCCTCTAGTGGGCCCTGTGCTCACCGCCCGGCACCATAGAGCTTGATTGGCATTTGCTATTGAACACCAGAAATGGGAGGTCCGCCACTGGTGCCCTGTGCTTTTCACAGATGAGGGCAGGTTCACCCTGAGACGTGAAAGGGTCTGGAAAAGCCATGGAGAACAATATACTGCCTGTTACATCGTTCAGCAGGACCGTTTTGGTGGTGGGTTAGTGATGGTCTGGGGAGGCATATCCATGGATGCACAGACTTCTACAGGCTAGATAATGGCACCCTGACAGCCCTTAGGTATTGGGATGAAATCCTTGAACCCATTGTCAGACCCTATGCTGTCCTGAGTTTCTCCTAGTGCACGAAAATGCCCGACCTCATTCTGCGTGAGTATGCAGGCAGTTCCTGGAGGATGGAGAAAATGATACCACTGAATGGCCCTACGCTTATCTGAATTAAATCTAATGGAACACCTCTGGGATATCATGTTTCAGTCCATCAGACGCCACCAGGTTGCACCTCAGACTGTCCAGCAGCTCAGTGATGCCCTGGTCCAGATCGGGGGGGGAAATACCCCAGGACACCATTCATTGTCTCATTGCCAGGCATGCATACAAGCACGTGGGGACCATACACATTACTAAGTACCATTTTGAGTTGCTGCAATGAAATTTCAGCAAAATGAACTAGCCTGCAGCATCATTTTGTCACATTGATTTTCAGGGTGTCTTTGAATTCAGTCCTCTGTAGGTTGATAATTTTAATTTCCATCAAACGATGGGACATCCTCTCCTGCGTTCCATATCAGTATAGATATCCAGCATGATGATATTTTTCCCCATTGAGATCATTTGGAGACTCCAGCCTTCACACAAACCAATTAATATACAGTTATTGGGATTTATTTTTACCAAAGACATGTAGTAGAATACATTTTGGTCTTCCCTCTCACCCTTCCCCCTACCCTTTTTCCTATACTAAATTCCCTACGGCTGTTTCCATAATTTAACTAGTTCCGACCGCAGATAGCCGAATGACGGCTGCACTGCGGCCGGCCAGTTCTGGGTGGACGTCATATGACGTCCCCCAGAACGCGCTCTCTTGCGCGCCCCAGGGGGCGCGCACCCGGCGATCTCCGTGATCGCTGTGTCCTACGGACACAGCTGATCACGAGATGTGGTAAAAGGCCAATCATACCGGCCTTTTACCACGTGATCAGCGGTGTCCAATGACACGCTGATCACAGGGAAATGCAAGTGCCGGTTCTCGGCTGCACTTTCCTCACGCTGTCAGATCGTGAGGAAAGTACTGCCGAGAACCGGCAGTTGTCAGAGCGAGGATCGGCACCGATCATCAGGGCACTGATGATCAGTGCCCCGATGATCGGTGCCCAGCAGTGCCACCCACAAGTTCCGCCCACCTGTGCCCAGCAGTGCGCCCACTAGCTCCGCCCACCTGTGCCCAGCAGATCACCCACCTGTGCCCAGCAGTGCACCCACCTGTGCCACTCTGCAGTGTCACATACCTGTGCCCAGAAGTGCCACCTACCTGTGCCCAGCAGTGCCACCCACCTGTGCCCACCCACCTGTGCCCACCAGTGCCACCCACCTGTGCCCACCAGTGCAACCCACCTGTGCCCCCACCCCACCAGTGCTGCCCACCAGTGCAGCCCAGCAGTGCTGCCAGTCAGTGCCACCAGTCAGTGCCCAGCGGTTGTGCCAGTCAGTGCCAGTCAGTGCCCAGCAGTGATGCCAGTCAGTGCCGTCTATCAGTACCCATCATCAGTGTCACCTATCAGTGCCGCCTATCAGTGCTGCATATTAGTGCCGCCTATCCGTGACACCTCATTAGTGCTGCCTATCAGTGTGCCCACCTATCCGTGACACCTCATTAGTACTGCCTATCAGTGCCCTTTAGTGCTGCCTATCAGTGCCCATCAGTGCCGCCTATCAGTGCCCATCAGTGCTGCCTCATCAACGCACATCAGTGAAGGAGAAAAATTACCTGTTTGAAAAATTTTATAATAGAAAGAAACAAAGAAACTTTTTTTTTTTTTTCAAATTTTTTGCACTTTTTTTAATTTATAGCGCAAAAAGTAAAGCGCTCAGTGGCAATTAAAACCACCAAAAGAAAGCTCTATTTGTGAGAAAAAAAAATGATCAAAATTTCATACGGGTACAATGTTGCATGACCGCGCAATTGTCAATCAAAGTGCGGCAGCGCTGAAAGCTGAAAATTGGCCTGGTAAATAAGGGGGTATAAGTGCCTGGTAGGCAAGTGGTTAAGGTGTGCTTTCAGCATCGCTATGCATGTTTGACTGTGGAGAAAACCCTTTAACCTGGATTGTATGCCTTTGAAGTATTACATACTAGATTATTGTGACATCTCATGTGGGGAATGTTTGCATTGCCTTTTTCTGTTTGAAAACATAAAAATAAAGATTTTTTTATTTTCTATTGGTATATAACAGAAAGTAAAAAATATCAGGGTTTTTTTTTCTAAATTTTTGGTCTTTTTTCATTTATATGATAAATAAAAACCCCAGAGGTGGTCAAATACCAGCAAAAGAAAGCTCTATTTGTGTAAAAAAAAAATATATACATTTAATTTGTGTACAGTGTTACAGTGTTGCACACAATTGCCAGTTAAACTAGCACAGTACTGAATAGCAAAAAATGTCCTGGTCATGAAGGAGGTAAAACCTTTCGGAAGTCAAATGATTAAAGGTGTCAACATAGTGAAATGTGTTTGTATTGTAGAAGTGTACTGCATACATTTTTTTTTTGTTATTTTGTTATTAATCTTGCCCTGTCTTGGGCTTTAAGGGATCTGCAAGCTTCTCTCACAATCCTCTAGTGATAATATGGGATGCATTAAATAACAGTCAGACCTTAAACAAGGACATTGATGACATTGACCTAAGCCCATCGGCTAAAGGTTAACAATTGTACAGCAGAGTGGAGTATGAGATTTTCTGAAGATTATCTACTTCTTAGTCTTACTCCTTTTTTATCATTTTTTCAGTATGTCTTGTCATCAGAATGCATAAAGTACTGATATATAAGCCATATTAATAGTGATACTAAGGAATGAAATGACTGCATAATGTCAAGAGCAGCAGCACGCTAGTAATTCGGCTATAGTGCTAATCTGTCATTACACGACTGAAACCAATGCCTTCATGCCCTCTTGAGTACAAGCAATTAACCATCCTGTCCCTTCACATTTATATCACTTCTAAGGAATGTGCATGGCAATTGACTTCATTTAGAGTTCCGAGATAAACTATACATGCCACCTGAGACCTATACATGCAAATTAATCAAGAGGAAGGAGCAAAACAAAATAAGGCTTTCATAAACTTATTGAAAGGGAAGGAAAATTTAGTGGCAAGAAGTCCTTTATATAAATGTTCTCCCTGATCGGTATTACAATTCAGACGACAGGTTTTTAATATAAAAAAAAAAAACTTCTGAAGATGTTTTTTTTTCCGAAGATTTTTTTTTTCTTTTGAAGAGTTGCCACAGGCTCAAGCCCTCAGTCTGTGTGAATGTTAGTGTACAGCCAGATAATCTATTACAGTGAATGAAAATATTATTTCCACACTAAACTGATCACATTTATGAACTAATGCTCATAGTGACGTATCCCTTAACTGAGGCTGCTAAGCCTAAATGAGTTATACTCAAGAAGCAGAGCTATTTGACATCACTCATTGAGCATGCTCATTATTATTTATAAGACACAAATGTTAACACAATACCTGAATTTTCTACATAAAACGTTCCACTGAGAAAAGCTGTGGTTTTTATCTCAAACAATATGGTTTGATGAATAACAGTTTTAATGGCTGTTTAAGTAAAAGTTTCCGGCAAATTTACCACCTATGTTTCTCACATGAAGAAAATTAATGGAATACAAGTTTTCTTGGAGCTGTGTTCAATCAGTCCGAACACACAGTTTAAAGAATTGAGTGTTCGTCTGGACAAAATTAAAAAATATATATATATTCAGTATATTTCTATTATACAGTTGTGTTCAAAATAATAGTGTGTTGAAAAAAGTAAATAAAGCTCAAAATCCTTCTAATAGCTTTTATTTCCATACACACAAATGCATTGGGAACACTACACATTCTATTCCAAATCAAAACATGAAGAAAAATATATCAAATTTGTGTTGTTCCTCTAAAAAAATTGAAGAAAAGTGAATATTAGACTGTTCAAAAAAATAGCAGTGTTTGTATTCTTCTTTACAAACTCAAACATTCACTATATGAACTGAAAAATGTTGGAAGATTTTGCTTTCCTTTGAATCACTTAATTAATATTTAGTTGTAGTTGTCCTTGCCATTTTGGCTATTCTTCTATCCATTTGAATGGTAGTTTTTTGCTTTCTTTCACGTCTTTTAGGTTTTGGTTGCCATTTTAAAGCATTTGCGATCATTTTAGCTGAGCAGCCTATCAGCCTGAACAATGTCTGGAACGACCCATTTTTCTCAGAATTTCAGAGAGAAATGCACTGTAACCAGCATGTACAACATTTTCCTACTTTCTACCTTAAAGAAGCGCAATAATTGCCACCTGTTTTTCAAAGAATGAATGACCTCACTAATAGAACTCCACACTGCTATTATTTTGAACATGCCCTTTTCAATTAGTGATTCAATTACACAGAATCAGCAGCATGCATGTCATGACTGTTGGGGCTGTTGGATTTTTATTACTCTACTACACCTGCTAGTAAATTATTTGCCATGTAGAAAAATAATTTCTACCCAAAAACAGTGATTGATCAGGTTATTATTTTGAACACAACTGTATTTGCGCATTTCCCCATGATTTATTCCTTAAAAAACAGACAATCATAGATCTATAAAAAAAAGTTTTAAAAAACTAAAAATGTATACATTTTAAAAAAGGTGGTGGTGGGGGGGGCAGACTTGATGGACCACTTGGTGTTTTTTTCTGCAGTCACTTTTTTATGTTTCTGTGAAAAATACTTGCTGATCTACCAGGCTTGCCTGTGGTGCTCTGAACTCCCAAGCAGTGTTTTCAGCCCTACAGAAAAAACAGTGTGAACAGATTGTTCAAGAAAAGAAAGTGGTTACATAAAGGACAATGCAATACTCTGAAATGTAATCAAATAATGCTTTTATAAGCAAAATAGCAATATGATACAATTGAGTAAAGACTGCAAGGTAGCCATCACCACAATAATTGACAGTACAAAAACAACCTAAAACCAAAATATAAAAAAGAGAGACATCATGGCTAGGCCAAATACAATAATATGCTGTAAAACCAATGACTCAAAGGTCTTTTGCTCATGCAGCAAACACATCGGGGTGCACCACCGAAATGAGGATACAAATAATGATGGGAGAGATGCAATAACGGTGCTGGAAGACCAATATTCAATGATGTTAAAGCAGGTGGAACCTCTACTGTCACGGAAACAGAAGCCCAGCTAGGGAAAGGTCTCTTGGTGAAAATAAACCCGATTCCAATGCGAGTGAGTGTAGTCTGCATGTGTATGCCTATAGCAAGTAGCGGTGGATAAGGCACTAGATGCAGTCAAGATAGTATGTGGCCCCTTAGGCCAATTACTGAGATCAATAAACACAACCTCAGTGTGTGTCATACAGTAGTAGTCTTATGAGGCCCACAGAGGGACAATGGATTATTTGATTATATTGCATTATCCTTTATGTAACCACTTTCTTTCGTGAACAATCTGTTCACACTGTTTTTCCTGTAGGTTTTTTGGTTGTTGGGCAATATTTTATATTTTAACCCATTACTTTTGATGCCTTCATTTACATGGTTATTATAGTGTTTTCAGCCCTGCCTATGTTCTCTCATGCTGGAGTGCAGAACACCTCCCTCTCTCCTTGTCTCCATAATATGATAGGGAGGATTTATTTAGACAGCAGGGTGAAACTTCAGCAGGGCTGACAACTGACTGCTTGGGTTTTCACTGCAAGTGTTAATACTGATTTTTTTTGTATAAAATACTGCTGATCTCTGTTTTGGGTTATATGTGTTATATGACTGAGATTTCTACTCATTTCTCCAGGGCTTTTATTCTGCCAGAACATGGCAGAACGATGTTCCCTACCTCTGGTCCGGCAGCCCTCTTCTCTCCAGCCTGGCACTTAACATAGAATCCTGCGGAGGAAGTTTTCTATACCACTCACTTTCTCCACCGGCTTCTGTATGCTAGCGCCGGCATCTAGGGCATGTACCCCACACCTGTTGGATGGGTTTCCTGTGACTGGGTCCAAAAGCTGCAACTGTCAGAATTTACTGGGGGATTCCAGAGGCAGTTTCTATCTCCTCCTGCTGCCTATCAGATCAGTTAGCACCGAGCCTTGTGAATTGCTCTGAAACTCCTCCTCAGCTCAGTGCTACACTGATCTAAGAGCCGGAGCTGCATGTATGAGACTGCAGCTGGCGGAGAAAAAAAAGCTTGCTCTGCCTAAAAGAATGGCATCAGCTACACCGCTCTGGGGAGGGTGGGTTCCTGCACCTATTCTCTAAGAAAGAAAGCCTTGCATTTCTCTATTATGTTTTGGCAGCACCACCCCTTCCTAGGTTTTGTGAGGTACTCTATGGCATACCATAAAACTGAATTCATTTTTCTGCCTATATGGAGCTCGCATATGCAGAATGCTGGCATGAGGGTATATGATTCCCTATTCAAAATGTTCTCATTTTCCTTATTTTCTCTAGGATAAGTATAAAAAAATGTGCTGGATAGGGCATCTGAGCTGAAGAAAGTGGTGGTATTAAAATTTTGTTGAAAAAAGATGCTGAGCAATGCATTTGAGCTGAAAAAGGTGCTGGGTAGGGATGACATGGGTTTGGCAAATTCGAATGCCAAATCCAAATCCCTTTGAAGTCAATTGGAGACAC